GGGGCGACCTCTACAGCCAGTTGGAAGGGAATGGCAGGGCCCCCCCCAATGCAAATGTCTTGCCAACGGGATGACCAAAATCACAGAAGCAAATACAAAATTCTATGCTCAAACTGTCCTTTAATACATCAATCAGGTTGGAACAAATTAAGAGTTTTCTAAACAAGTGTCATAGCAGAACTGCCTGTGCTTTGGTTTATTTTGTATACAATTACATATGTTTTCTCCCTGGTCAAATATAAACTTCCTGAGGGCAGGTATTGTTTCACATTTATCTTTGTATCTCCAGTGCCTCTATAGTGCCTGGCACATAACAGGGATTTAATCAATGCTTACTGATTGATTGATTGATATTGTTATCTATATTATGAATTCCATGAAGCCATTGTTCAATCAGGAAGAAGCTTTATTAATGACCTGGGAAGGCCGGGTATACCATGTATGCGGGAGCACATGTGTGAGAACACATGTGTTGACAGATGCACACCTTTTTATTCCCTATTCTCCATTCTAATTTCCTTCCCCTGTTTCCCCATTGGCTGGATACCATAGAGGTTACAGCCTATCTGAAGTGCCAGCTTTCCCCACTTGAGTCTCAGTCCCTAATTACATGTTACATCTCTCACTCCACACAATTCAGCAACCAGTCTCTTATTTGGGAACACCCCTTTTGATGTTAATCTATACCTAACCTCAGAACCGTTTTTGTTGGTCAATCCACTCCCCAACCCATTCCACTTTATGGCTTTTTAAAGTAACCTTTGTTCAACTTCCATCTAGCCTCCAGACTGCACTGTGGAAAGGAAAATCAGCCATTTCCCACTTTCCTTCCCAGTCCAAACTGACTCAAATGCTGTCAGGTAGGCATTCAACCCCTGATTGAGTGATATGCAGAAGCAACATCCCCCAACACGTTTTCCACAATGTGAAAGAATTTAGCTATGCAAGACTTAAGAACTCTGTGAATTTTCACCTTTCTGAAATTTAAGATTAGATTTAATGACAAAGTAAAACTCTGAATCAGTATCTGAATGAGATGTCCCAGTGAAGACTTCTCAGTGTAATTAAGGTAATGAGTTCAGAAGGTAGTGTGAGAAATGAATTCTCAGAAGTGAAGGCTCCTCAAAGGGTCAAATAATTCTTGATTATTACTTTCAAAATCCTCCCCCAACTCAGACCCTGTTTTTAAGCACTTAACAGAAAGAATATAAGCCCTGCCCCACCCCCAACCTGAGCGTTTGCCCTTGGCTTCCGGCCTCTTTCCTTGTCTTTGAATTTTGGGCCTGGAATGTAAGCCCCACCTCCCAGTTAGAATGTAAGCCCACCCCCAGTTAAGGGGTAAGGGATAGTGGTGGGTGGAAACTTGTTTGCTTGGTGAGTGGAGGCTTGTTTGCGCAGTGGGTGGAGATTTGCTTTCATAAGGTAGCTCCTGTTACACTCTCGAGCACTCTCTCTCTCTCCCTCTCTCTCTCTCTCTCTCTCTCTCTCTCTCTCTCCCCCCATGTGTATGGAAGGAGGAGACAGCCATCTCCCGAGATTGTAATAAAGGTAACCTTTGCTTTCCACCTTGAGAAGTCTCTGAGTTTAATTTGGGTTAGGGTCACTGTCCCACACAGTATCCAAAATATATTTCTATAATAAGTAAATCATCTTGGCAAACACATCCATTAATTCCCAGTGCAGTCACCCTAGATCAAGTTCTCCTGCCTTGGGCTGGGACCCTTGTAACAGCCTTCTAACTGGTTTCCTTGACTTCACTCTATCTTATCTTCTGTTTATCCTTCACATAACTACCAAAAAAGGTTCCTAATCCATAGAAATTTTTACTCCCCAACTCAAAAACTACTAGCAAAATTTTTGACTCAAAAACCACCTAATGAATTAAATTAAAACTCCTTAATCTGGCATTTCCAGGCCCTCCACATTCTTTCTCCAACCTTCCTGGAGCCTTATTTCACAGCACCACCCTTTAATAAATTTTATGCTTCAGCCAAACTTGGTTACATTCCCATTCTGACTACCCCTTCCCCTGCCTCAGGGGCCATCTCCAGTCATTCTGATCTATATCTTGCCATGGGACCCAGATGACTCTGATGACTTTACCCAGCCCTCTTTCTCACTCAAATCCAATTCACTTGCAAGTCATGGCATCACCTTCCTGATGTCATGGTCCTCTTGGAGAAGGAAGGACAAACAGCGACCCCTGTCCCAATATACACATTTACTTCTACAGTCTCTGTTTTGACATGGGAAATGAAACTTTTCTCATATTTCCTGCTTGCTGAAGTCCTTCCAAGTTTAGCTTACACATCCCCTTCCTGGAGCCTTCCTTAATCCTGTGATCTAAAATGACCTTCATCAAACCTTTCATGACATTCTATTTCTCCCATTCCCCACCCCGTTTTGGACTGGAATTGGATTCAAAGCCAGACATTGCAATTGCTGGCTAGACAGCTTCACCTGGTTTTAGTAAAGCTGTTTTTATAGTTCTTCTGCTATGCCACATTTCCCATATTGGGTCACCCATTTGTTGACACAGCTTACTGTGTGCTTGTGAATCTCCTTATTAGGGCACCTCCAGCTATTCAGGTGACTGAACTCTCAGTGGTAGGACCTGACCAGTCAAGGTGGTGTCAAGGTGGCAGAAAGGAAAATGCTTGGATAGAACTCCTCTGCTGCCCAATTTGAATATTTAAACATTACTGTCACTAAATCAGGGGCAGCTAAAGTGGCACAGTGGATAGAGTACTAGGCCTAGAGTCAGGAAGACCTGAATTCAAATCTGCCGTCATACATTTACTAGCTGTGTGACCCTGTGCCAGTCACTTAACTCTGCCTCAATTTCTCATCTGTAAAATGAGCTGCAGAAGGAAATGGAAATTTGTCAAGAAAACCCCAAGTAGGGTCATGAAGAGTTGTACATGATTGAAACAACTGAACAACAATAACAAATCACTAAATTTAAAAATAAAAAAGAATGTTTGGAATAAATATTGTATGTATCACAAACCCAGTTAGTTTACTTGTCTGCCAAAAGCACTTGAGGGTCACGGGGGCCCCGGTTTTGACAATGGCAGTGACAAGAAACAAGTCTTGGGAGAAGTCTGGGGAAGTCCAAGATCCACTCTCTTCAGGTTGTACAATTCAACAAACATTTAATTAGCACCTTCTATGCATAAGGTACTGTGCTTTTAAATGAAAACTAAGATGGAGGCAGCTAGGTAGTGCCATGGATAGAGCACTGGCCTGAAGTCAAGAGGACTGGAGTTCAGATCTGGCCTCAGACCAAACACTTGACACTTACTAGCTGTGTGACCCTGGGCAAGTCACGTACCCCCAATTGCCTCACAAAACAACAATAACAACAAAAATAAAAACAAAAACAAAAAATAAGATGGTCCTGGCCTTCAAGAACTTTACAATCCTAATCAAATCACCAGTAGCAGTTTAGATATATTATTTCCAATAGTATAGAAGCAGTCAAATTTTATAAAAGAATATTTTTCCCCAGAAAATGTACCACCAGGTTATCATGTGAACTACATGTTTACTAAGGGATTTCTTTGAGGCCTGGCAATCTCAGGTCACACTGAGTCCTGCTGTTGTTATTCCGCTTGTTATATTCCCCTGAAGTGTTTGTCTGATTCGGATAAGCCCAGTCACAACTCAGACAAAGAAAAGTAGTGAGTTGAATTTTGTTCTGGTCAAAAAGGACCTATGTATGTTCAGTTACCTCTCTGACTCCCATCTTAGACTGAGCTAGGTGGTTGAGTGTGGTCAGAGGTCCTAAGGCCCTAGCCCATATCAGGCTAGGCACATTTTTCATTAAAATATATTGAGACTGTCTTTGAGACTTAGTAGGCCCAGAGGACCAAAGGACTAGATTATAGTATAGTACAAAAGCCAGGGCCCAGTCCTCCTTTGGGCTTCTGACTGGAGGACCAGCATGGACAACAAACATCACAGCAGGGAAGCTTGGCTCGATAGAATCGACACAGGTGCTGGGTCTTCCCCTGCTGTCCTTTGTTGAACGTCTGGTCAGCTGCTCCTCCTGTGTCTCATTCTGTTTCAGTCTTGACCCTGAGCTACCAGTCAGTTGCTCAATTCATCACAAGAAGTGTGACTTTAGAGAGCTAATAGGAGAACATGCCTCAAGCCCTTCAGCAAATAGAGGTGTGGAATAAGGCACATATAGTCAGACACAGCCAATGAGTTGATTTGTTTTGCTTAAAAATGCTAATTTACATAAGAAAGGGTTCCATTTGTGTGTGTGTGTTGGAGGAGGGTCATTAAAAAGTGACAATGTTGTGGAATGAGAAAAGAGCATCAATAAAATATATCAAACTATTTTTAAAAATAGGTGTAGGTTAAGTAGAATATTTGAATTTCTCATACTTTCAACTTTCTGTTTGTTTGGAAGGAAAATTTAGAAGGTACTAGATGGTACCATAGAATGCTGAGATTAGAATCAGGAATACCTGAATTCAAATCTTGTCTCAGGCACTTCATGAGCTGTGAGACCCTGGGCAAATCACTTAAATTCTTAGCCCCAGTTTCCTCATGTGTAAATGAGAAGGGGCAGCTGGGTGGCGCAGTGGATAGAGCACAGGCCCTGAAGTCAGGAGTACCTGAGTTCAAATCCAGCCTCAGACCAAACACTTGACACTTACTAGCTGTGTGACCCTGGGCAAGTCATTTAACCCCAATTGCCTAAAAAATAAAGTAAAATAAAATGAGAAGAGTTGGATTCAAAGATGTCTAAGGGCCTTTCTGGTTCTCCACATGATTATCTTTACAGTATTTCTCTCAAAGTGTTGTGTAGAAACTGAAATGAGATAACGTTTATAAAGTGCTTTGCAAATTTTAAAGTATTGTAGAAACATCAGTGGTCATCATTCTTGAGAGAATGCCAAATGCCATTCATATACCACATTTCATGAATCTTAAATGACAATGGCAAATGAATCAGCATTTCATAGGTTAACCAATGAAGCACTTACCTTTATCATCAGCTTCACAGCTCTTACTGCGTCCTCTGCCGAAACATCAAAAGGTTCAAAAGATCCCTCAAAAGAGATGAAAATCCTCATTTTATAATTGCCTGTTTAAAAAAAAAATCCAAAAGATCTTGCTGAGCTAACAAAAGTCTTCCTTTGCACAATTGAGGGCAAAAATCATAGGCAGCTGCAGCTATAAATATCTCACCACAAAGCCTAGCTTCTCTTCCAGGAGAACTGATTTGCCAAGGAAAGTCCCACAGTACCAGGCGACCGCAGACAGTAGTTACATTGTGTTTGGGGATACCAAAGAGAGTAGGCTAAAACCGTCCTGTGCTCAGAATAAGGGAACCAACTGAATTCTCACTGGTGAAGGCGAGGCTGAACCACCTTCTAGCACACAAATACCAGAACTGCCTGCCCAAATCTCACCAATATCATAAGTGACACCTACTTGTTCTTGGCTTCCTACTTGCTAGTAGAGAGCAGACAGCTGATTACCAAATCCTTGGAGAATGACTTGGGATGGGAGGGTACATGTCAACCATCAGGATAATCCTCAGTTGATTTTGGTGACTGGGGTAATCCTTAAAGTACTCCATAAATAACTCTGAGCCAAAGCATTCTAGTTTCCATAACAACTTTGCACACGTCTTTCCCGGATGACATTTCTAAGCTTGTTTTTCCGCAGAGGGCAGAACAGTGACGCCTTACACCAAGGAGATGAATGTGTGGGCCAATGATTCTATTGTTTCCTCTGCCCATCTCTGCACAATGGAAGCTGCCGTTTAATAACAATATTGCTCTGTGTTTCCTCCTGCACTTTTCTGGATGGTTCGGTATTTATAAGACTTAGTACTCAGTACCATTGTTATCTCATTCATCTTCAAAACCCTCCGGTAATGTTAATAGAAAGTATTTTCAACTCTATTGTATAAAGAACCAAGAAACAAAGCAAGGCTAGGGAGTTACCCAGGCTTATATACAGTAAATAAATGCTATTTGTTAGAATTAAGGCTTGGACCTGTTGCATACTTGTAGGGTTTAGTATTGAGAGTAAGTTAGAATCTTGAGACCGGAAAAGTAGGCCTTCAAAGGAAAACACGTGGAATAGATAAGCAACGTACATTAAATTATCTGACAGCAGATTATTTTCAAGGAATTTACTGTTAAGCATTATATACATAGGTAATCATTCACTGATGGCTAGAAATGCCACTCTTTGGGTCTTAAAGTCACAGTAGAGAGAATAAAATCATCTCTAAAGTTTCTAACAATTGTGGAAAATGATTTCTAGACTCGGAGCTCCAACACCCTTCTGAAAAGTTCTTCAAAAGGACATTATTGATAATAAGATTGTATTGAGTCTTATTCTGGTCAAACTCCAACCCAGGCCTGAATTGATTTAATCTGCTCAGGTTTGGGAGGAGAGAGATTTTTTTGCCTAGAAAGCCAAAGGCTGAAAGTAGTTTGGTTGGTGGGTAGTCTGATAGAACAGGCAGTTCCTCTGTCTGATGAGGATGAGTTCTAGACCCCAAAAAGGAAAAACCCTGGACTTTCCCACATGGCCAAATTTCTGGTGTTAGCCTGAGGCTATAATCAACTGTTTTTTCTTTGTGGCTACACCCAATCCCCCAATTCTCTGTTACCTTTAACCTACCCTACACCTCCCTATTTCCCCTGGCCACTTCCCATCCTTAATCCTATGGAGGCTCCATTCTCCCTTGGCCACCCCCAGAGTTCTATTACCTCATAGACTATTTGGCCACTCCAAATGCCTCCCATGGTCTTTCCGTATATAAGGTCCATCTGGTCTCCATTAAGATGCTTGGATTCTTATAATCTAGCCACTGCTCAGGTTTTTACAATTTAGCTAATAGCTCACAGATGCTCAGATTCCTTAAGACTCTGTCTAATATGGTAGATCTTTAATAAACCTTGTTTTTGGCTGAAAGAAGGCTTGGGTCAAATTCTTTTAAGCAGGACCTGCTTGTTGTGATCTTGGGGTCCCAGCACCCCTAACCTCTAGACCTTGCGTCGATAGGTAGAATGATGGTGGGTGATAACTGCCCCTGCTGAAAAGATGTTGTACCAGGATTAAGTGACCTAAGTCACATGCTCAAGACCTTCATTTTAATATAGCCTACCTCCCAGTGTGTTGATAAATCAAAGTTGATTGGCACCCCTTGGGAACACCTACTCTTCAAGGGACATATAACCCTGTACCCCTAAATCTCAAATTGAGCCAGTTCTGAACTGGCTTCCTTGGAAGGATGAAGTTCTGTACTATAACTCCCATACAATACATGTCAAGCCATCTTGAGAGAAATAAAAACGTGGACATGCCCTAATCCATTTGTCTCTTTCTTAGAAAAAACTCTATTGGGGGGAGCAGGTGACACAATCTATACATCTTTATACTTCTAAAAAATCTTTTTGCTTTTCTTTTTCTCCCATAGTGCACAGAGATTAGAAGGAGACAGAAAAATCTCTTTAATGATTGGGAATATGTTATTTTGGTAATTGTTTTATTCCTATAGGTCATAGAAATAGATCATACATATATCATGCCGGCTTTGACATCAAAATGCAAACCAGTATTTTCCTTCGACATTCTAAGTATTAAACATTTTGCTTTTCTTTTAAAATCACATGCAGGTCCTTTCTATATGTAATAGACAATTCTCCTTATCCTCGTTTTATATAGCAGTTATAATCCAGGCTCTAGCATTTATTAATTCAGTAACTTTGAGCAAGGGAAGAGAAGGAAATGTTTATTAAACATTTACAATGTGTTAGGGATTGTACTCAAATCCTTACCAATATTATATCATTTGAATTACTTATAGCTCACATTTATATAATGCTTGAGAGAAATTTTTAACTAATAATTTGTGATCCATCCTTTTTCCACTTATTTCCATTAAAACCCAGCTCCAGGAAAGGTCAGCCTCTGAAGGGCATGGCTGAGTTGTGAAATTGCTCCTAGACCTCAAGGCACATAGGTGGGACCCCACCCAACTAGGAGACCTAATTTCTGCTTAGAGTATAAATAGAATCCAAGTTTAGACCAGCCTTTGCCTGGAGGAAGAGCTCCCAGTGCTTGACTGCCAGCATTAGAGTTTAGGGCAACTCAGCTCTTGCAAGAGAAAACTAGTTAGAGAGGTGTGGATGGAGGTGGCTTCTGCTTGCTCAGATGCCTTGAGGCTGCTGAGTCTCCAGATCAAACAGGAAGAGCTGAAGAGTTTTTAGCCCTCTTCCTTATTAAATGTCCACCAATCTGGGTTGATTTTCACTAGATAGGGAAGTTCCCTTTCAAAAGGGATTCTTAAGGCATTTCAGGACTTCCTTTGGCTTCTTTGGTTATTACTGACCACCAATTTATTGATTGCCAACTAGCCTAATTAGTAAATTGATTATTAATTACCTAGAAACTCTGTCAAGATTTTCATTCATCTCACTCTGAAGGTGCTTTCATGTTGTCAAAACCAGGAAGAAGGGCAATTATCTGTGAGGTAGGAAAGAAATAGCTATTCTCATTATCACCAATAAGGAAATAATCTTTTCTTGCCCTCTGAGACTGCCCTAGCTAACATAAAAGTGCTAGGGATGAGGTCTAAAGATCAGGGGTGCTGGAATCCCAAAATCACAACACATGGGTCCTGCCCAAAAGAATTCGATCCAAGCTTTCTTTCATCCAAAAACAAGGTTTATTGAAGATCCACCCTATTAGCCAGAGTCTTAAGGAATCTGAGCATCTGTGAGCTATTGGCTAGATTGTAAAAACCTGAGCAGTGGCTAGATTATAAGAATCTAAGAAGTGACTAGATTTTAGGAACCTGAGCATCTTAATGGAGACAAGATGGACTTTATATACAGAAAAACTATGGGAGGGATCTAGGAGTGACCGAGTAGTCTATGAGGTAATAGAACTACAGGGGTGGCCAAAGGACAATAGAGCCTAGATAGGATTAAGGGTGGGAAGTGGCCAGGGGACATAGGGAAATCTAGGGTAGGTTAAAGGTATAGAGAATTAGGAGAGTGGGTGTAGCCACAAAGAAAGACCAGCTGATGGGATTATAACCTCAGGGGAACTCCAGAGATTAGGCCATGTGGGAAAGTCCAGGGTTTTTCCTTTCTGGGGTCTAGCTCCCATCCTCATCACAAGCACAGTTTTCTGGTCTGGAGTTCCCATACTGGGTCTTATACTAGAGAGTTTATAGTAGAAAGAATGAGGGGAAATGAGAGTCAGATGAGATTTCTTTATGGCTAAACACCATCTCCCTTGGAAGCCTGGTTTCCAAGGTGGCATCCTTTTTGTGTCTTCTCTGTGTTTTGTGTGGCCCTGGGAAGAGTGTTGGGCAATGGATGGTACTACAAGCTGCTTGTGGTCTTAAGGCAAAGCATCCACCTATACAACTCACCAGAAATGATGCTATGGCACAAGATCAGAGAGAACTGCATCTTTAAAAACATATTTTTGGGTCCTTCTGTATTTTTTTTTCAGGTATACCTGTAATTGAAGCATTGAGACCCTTTGCAGTCAAAGTTTATAGGACCTTTGCAGGTCTTTGCAGCAAACTGTGAAGTAGAGCACATATTATTATGCTTATTTTTTTATCTATAATATAGCATAATATTATCCTATATTATCTATTATCTATATTACTATAATATCCTAGATATTTGTTATCTATATTATCCACAATGTCCTAAATATTTATTATCTATATTATTCTGTATTATCCTCATTAATCCTTATCATCCTTATTTTATGAGGAAACAGTGCCCTTAAGTTTAAGTTTAGACTCTGTCACTCATCTTTCAGTCTGAGGAGTCCAGGGCAAGCTGTAGTATTCTATGCTGCTACTTAACTTCCTTGAGCATCAGTTTATTTGTTTATGAAATTGAGATAAAACCACTTACCTAACCTACCTCATAAGGTTGTTGTGAGGATCAAATGAAATAATATACGTGAATAGTCTTGCTATGAAAGTGGATTATTATTATTATTATTATATCCAAACTGCTTCAAACTCCAAAATTATATCCCTCCCCTAATCAAATCCCCCACTCCCTCAGTGCTGCTGCCTTATTTCATGTTAGCAAGAGAGCCAACTCATTGAACTAATTTGTGCAAATTTATAAATGAGTGAAAACTCATTGTAAATTGTATAGGAATGGCAACAATTTGTGCATAGTTATAAGAATTCAGGACAAAAGTCACCAACGCTACTCTTCCCTTCAGGATAGCTAGTAAAGTATCAGGGTAATTTGCTTGGCCCTGGCACTAACAGCCTGGGATTTCATAGAAGCATAAAGGAATATATTCATGTTAAACTAAATATCAAGTGGTCTTGGGACAATTCCCATTGAAAAAGAAATGAAGAAGTCAAAAAAGTAGATTTAACCTAAGGGACTGGCAG